CTCTTTCGTCTTTTGACTTTTGGAGGCTCAATCACAGGGAGGTCGTCATCATCACACATGACGCCTTGAGGATCCACATCACAGTTGATGAAAGCCGATTGGTAATCAGCCTCACCTTCTCCTAGGGTGAACCTTGCGATCATCTCCGCCCTTACATCGTCGGTGGGGTTACAGAAGTCACTGCCCTTGACAATATATGGGATGTTTCCCTCTACTTCTAACATGATTTTCTTGTAGTTCGGGGAAACCATGTACGGGTTGCCGCAGGCTGGCCATATGAATGTGTAACCTTCCTCCATGCATTTCTTTCCAACAGACAGTACTGAAGGAGACTCATCTAAGACGAATGGGGAGTAGGTAGAGTCAAATTCGTCGAAATGAATGTCGGCGACTCCCTTTGTGGATGTCACTCCATTTGCAGTATAGAATGACATTGATTGGTCGCTTTCTCTCACTTCCAGACCTAATTTCTTGGCTCTGCCTTTCGATATCAAATCATACCCACATCCTGTGTCCATGATGAACTTTGTTCTTGACCCTTTGGCTGGAATAGACAATGTCTTTGTGTCTGCATGATCTTTCTTTCCCTCGCATACATGAGGAATGACTTTATGATGGAAAACTAGGCCGTCATCTTCGTCAAAAGACATAGTGACCGCTAGGTCACCCTTTGGTCCAACTGGTATTCGGACCCTCTTGATCTCAGTGTAGGGGACAATCAATATGCCTCTTGCCTCTGCGACCTTTTCTTCAAATCTGATTTGTTCTTTCCTCGTGTAGCAGGTGAGCTCTTTCTCATCGTATCGTTTGATGTCTGGACGTAGAGGTTTCCTTTCTACTACCTTCCATTTGTTCCTGACTGAGTAGATCGCTTCGTTCAACATGATCTCACAAGTCTCTTCATCAAAGGATACTTTTGCACCTCCTTCTCTTGCCTTGGCGGATGCAGCAATCCCTTCATCTTCGGATTCGTCCATGAAGAGTTCACCGCCAATGGCTGGGGCTCCAGGCTTCGCCTTAGGCTTCGGTTTGGGTTTTGCCTTGGGCTTTGGCCTATCGTCTCCTGAGTCAGCTGGTGCAGATATCCCTTTCTTAGGAGAGGCTTTTGGGTCATGGTAGAACTTGCAATCCTTCCCTTTGTCACAAGTTCCTCGAATCCACATCCAACATACTGGCTTGTCATTCTTTCCGACAGAAGATCCTCTGGATGGTGATCTGGGTTTCTTGTGACTGAATGGGCAATCTTTCCCCATAGTGCAGTTACCTTTCACGAAGTATTTGCATGGTATCTTCTTCTTGTCTGTACTCGGACTTCGGCTGCGATCCTTTCCATCACCTTTACCTTTCCCCTTTCCCTTTTTGTTCTTGTCTTCAGGATGCTTCTTGGGATTGGGTTTCGGCTTCACTGCAGCAGCGTCTTCTGAGACAACCTGTTCTTGTTGCCCTTTTGGTTTCTTCTTCGGATCAGCTGGTGCAGCTTTCAGTTTTGGAGCAGGTCCGCCTGGTTTGAGATTCTGAAAGATATTGGCCACATTCTTCACTGCCTTCTCCTTTTCCAGGATCATCCTGTCTTCAGTTTGCCGTTCGATGTGCCTTCTGATCATATCACGTAGATGTTTGTATGTCTTCTTGGCATCATCGTCGTTCATGCTGTTGTAGGCGCTGATGTCGTATGCCATGAGGTTTGAGTTCCTGATCTTTCTCCATAGGAGATCCCGAAGAGTTTCGTCGCTCGGGACGTCAACGGGCTTCATTCCTGCCAGAATCTCATCCCAAGTGTGGAAGAACAACGATAAGTTCTTGTCTCCTTGATATTCTAGTTGGTAGAGGTGCGTTGAAGTATATAAGACTTCCACATTTGATGTTGTCTTGAAATTCATAAGGATCAGGGCTAGGACCTCTCTTCCCTTTATGAGGCTTGATGTTCTCCCTTTTGCATTGATCCTCGTCCTCAACTTCATAGCTACACCTGAACCATCATCTTTCGCATCCATGACGACCTTGGTAAGAGCTAGGCCGAGTTTGGCATCGATTGAATGGAATCTTTGGTCTCCTGAGTCGACAAACTTGTCCGGATCAGGATCGTCCATGGCTTCTTTGATCCAGTCGATCCAGGGCTCTTGATCTGAATCATTGGCCGCAATGATGATCGATTGAATGAGATTTGCCTTCCATAGTCCAAGATCATTGATCCTGGGCCATGACGGAACGTTTATCTTTGATTCTTCCTTCCTCGATACTTTCATGATTGTAGAGGTTGCCGGTACAAGATGAGATGAAGAGGATGCTTCTGCTTCTGAAATCTTGTCCCTCAATGATTTGTTCGCCTCGGATAGCTCAATTGATTTCTCCCTTTCCTCGGCGTACTCATTGTGGGTTTCGGCATACCATTCATACATCTCATCTCGGCTCTCTGTCATTTCATTGTACCCGTCCTTGTAGTGCTTCGCCTCCTCTTTTGCGTTCCGAATCTCATCTTCCTCGGACGCGTGGGTTGGTAACCCGCGGTCTCTGGAACTAGGACGCTTGCTGTACCGAGAGACTATGGGTGCCATTCGTGCTTCTGCTTTTAATTTCGCATTTTCCATAATGACATTCTTTGTCTCCTTCTGGCTTTCCAATAGTGCATTCTCCAGTTCTCTGATCTTCTGTTGAATTTCAGCGCCATCATCGCCGAACATAGGAGCTCTCATCATATTCTCTCTTTTCAGCTGTGCGTTGGCTTCGGATAGAGCGAGGTTGGCGTCTTTCAACTGTTGTCGTTCACGGATGGAACCTTCTAGGACTTCGTTGTTGAATATTTCTCCTTTTGCGATAACCTCCTTTGCGACGTTTGCTTCGTATTCATGGTGGCTCGCCTTCATTTCTGCCATTTCTTTAGCAGAGACTTCAGTCTGGCATACAAATATCTCCATCCTCATGCCCACTTCCATCTCTTCTATCTCCGCTCTCGCGTTGAGTTCAGCTCCACGTGCCATAGCTAGTTGACCTCGTAGATGATCAATAACCATAGCTTCCTGATTGCTCTGATCTTGAGATGAGTGAACACTGTGTTGAAGACGTCTTTCCCTGACCTCACTGTTCCATTGTTCTTCTCTCTGGTGTTGGATCACCTCGTGCATGTTGACATTCTCATCCTGTAGCGCAATCATTCTAGCTTGTATCTGGTCAGCTATTCCGACGAAGGCTGTGTTCTCATCCTGAATGGCTTTTGATCTTCTATTGATCGCCAATGAAGATTCATTCTGTTCTTGGATGTGTCCAATTGCTGCTTGAAGCTCTTGGGACATTCTGTCCTTCGTTGCTTTCACAGATTCAAGCTCTGAATGTTCTTGATGAGTTTCTTGTGCAAGCTCTTGATATCTCATGTAGATATGTTCAGCTGTCGATTCCGCCAAGCGTAGCTTGTGTTCGAGCTCTTCAATTCTTATTGTCGCTCCTTCATCTTCCTGTGTCATCTCTTGTAGATGTTCCTGCATCTTCCTGTTGTAGTCAGACATTTGCCTGAACTCCACTTCAGCCTCGTGGTGTAGTCGTGAGTGTCCGGCTTGGATGCATTCATATTCTTCATGAAGAAAATTGTATGCGTTTCTCGCCGATCTCAATTCTTCACCCAGCTGAATCTCTCTTCTTTGCTCTTTTGTTCCTCTATCATCGTCACGTCTCTTCTCTATACTCCTTCTTGGGGATCTCGCGGTAGACGTTATAGGCGATGTAGATCTTGTTGTAGCTCTCATCGATCTTCTTGGTCCTACGGGTGCAAGATCGGTCAGATTCCGAGCCGGTGGCACGGATCTTTCCGAGATTTGTGATCCAGTAGGCATAGTGATAACGTCAGCATTTGCTGATGAATCAGTACCCATTGTAGAGTCTGGTGACGAAATGGTGTTGGGACCACCAGGAGCAGCGAATGAATAGGGTTCGCTTCCATTTCCTCCTGAGCTTGACATTGCAGGTTTCTGTAATGACTAGTCTTGTTCTTGGTCTCGTGTAGCTCGTACGGCTATAAAGAGCGCGTACGGCTGATAACCTGCGAGTGGATCTTAATCAGCGAAGTTTGAAGCTATCACTGACGGTCCATAAGCGGCGTAGCGTCGGAACGGAAACCGCACCTTTTCTAGTCGCTTGATCCTTGAGCCAAAGTACATATGGTACATATATATGTACAAGTTGCACTGTACGTGTCGCTGCACTTCCATTCGCATTCTACATGGCCCTGCCCATGGCCAACTCAAGAAAGAATAACCATCGTGGTTTGGTGTCCTCCGGGATTGCCAACCAAGCAGCAACAGCAGTAGCAGCAGGAGCGGCGGTCACAAAAAAAACACCAAGCAGCAGAAGCAGCAGCAGCAGCAGTAACCGATAAACAGTAACCAGCAAGCAGCAACAGCTGAGGATGCCTGGCATGTCATGGGAAAACAGGTTTGGTCTGTGTAAACGGTGGTTGGTAACAGCTGTCCGTGGTTGTGTGTGAACGATGGTTGGTGTAAAGCTTGATTTGGGATAAGCCATGGTTGGTGTGGGCCGTGGTTGGTGTAAACTGTGATTGGTGCAAGCCGTGGTTGGTGTAGGCCGTGCTTTGGTGTAAGCCGTGGTTGGTGTAGGTGTAAACTGTGGTTGGTGCAAGCCGTGTTTTGGCGTAAACAGTGTTTCGTGTAAGCCGTCGTTTGGTGTAAACCGTGGTTTCGTGTAAGCCGTGGTTGCTGTAAACCGTGGTTGGAGCAACACAAACAACAAGCAAACAGCAAGCAGCAGCAGCTGATGATGAATGGCACTAGTATGGGAAAGTGTTCATGAGGCAGCTCACCCGTCCGCGGGGGTAGTTGTTGAACCTGATTGATTTAATCAATTATACAAATTTCGGGTTTCCGAGGCGGCGTCCACCCCATCATTTTAGTTGCTAAAGCAAGAGCAACTCTGGCTGACCGAGGCTAGCTTTCGTGACTGTGAAAGGAAATCTGTTTATTTGCCAGAGTCTTGCTTGACAACACATGTCAGTCCAGCATCTCCAATAGCCCTGCAGCATCAAACAATTGTCGAAGGAGTACGCTGCTATGTCCAATCGCTCTGCCTGAAGAATCTAACAGTGCGGGGCTGCAGACGAAAGCTAACCGGTGGACAGCACTGCACCGCCTAGCCTGGCTGCAAAGCTCTGACCAGTTCCATCGGTCTCCTGGAGCTGTTTTGTCGGATCTACAAAACTCTCTTGTCGGTAAGGGCCTGTCTTTCCGTCATCTTAAAGCTACAAAACTTGTTTGCTTTGCGGAAAATATCTGCAGTTCAATTGTGACGGTTGTGCTCCACCCATGTCTCTATTTTCATGTCCGGCTGCGTTTGTCCAGCTTTTACATTTAACTTGGCTTTGTACAGTACTACATTATTTGTCCACCAGTCTCTGCTTACTTCTTATGGCTTTTGAACAAACACATATCGTGAAATGCTCTTCCTGAATGTCTATGTCGATAGCTCCTCAAAAAGTTGTGCCTTGAATATGTTTCTACGCTTAACACTGTATAATGATCTCTTCCACCTGCTGATCAAATGATCCTGCAAGAAAAAAGTTCAAAGAACAAATGCAGCATGATATACATTCTCTATGTGTTGAACAGCAGTGTCCCTGCAGAATAACACAAAATTGCAAGAAAGGCAAGAGTTTGCCGTAATGTACGAATACCCTTTCCTGTCCAATTTGCTGAAGAAAAATGAACTCATCCGATTATATACATACAAGAAGAAGCATGGAAGCCGCCACATCCTGTCTATGGTCCCATCCAGGCCAAGGTAGTTCTGCCATTCATCCAAAGCAAGGCAGGCATAGTGGGCAGTGTCCTGCTAACTTCACATGTCAAAAGTGTTGGCTTTGAATCTGAAGATAATTCATGTTCAAGCCGCTTCAAGCCTCAAAGGTCATACTACATAGTCCAACAACATCTGCCTTACCAATGTGTCCTGCAAACAGATTTGATCCGGTGGGTCCATTTGCAGCGATTGAGCACTTGCCTGAGCCTGCAAAATTCGAAGTGTTCCCACATCTGTGGGGCTCCAGCTGCGTGTGGTTTTGAGAAGGGAGATGTACCGCTCAAGCTGCACATGTAGCGCACGGAGGGCCAGGAGAGATCCGCTCGAGGCAAAGCACTCCACAGAGTCCACAGCTGCTCGAAAGTCCGGGTCTGCGATGAGGAACATCACCAAACGCCCAAAGGATGCTACACTGGCCGAACCGGCAACCTCAGCGACCTCAGCGACCTGGCCGCTCAGCATACTGCAATGCATCTGCAATTGGCGCAAAGCTACCAGGGCGGACAGTGGACCTGGAGGTAGTTGAAGCCTGATAAGTTCAAGAGTTTGAGGCGCACAATCGCAAGGCGCTCTTGCCTGTTCCGTACGTTCCAGAAGCCCACAAAGGCCAAAAAGTGGCTGCAAACTTGAGGGCAGTTCTTCTCCATCAGAAAATTTACCTGCACTGAATACAGTTGGAGTGTCCGCGGAAAACCAGTGACTGTCGAAACAAGTTGGATTTTCCCAGGTCAGGTTGGGTGATCATGTTTGACATCATCGGGCGTTGCTACTCTTGAAAAACTAACCCACGCAAGCGCCTCTCGATTGGTGAGCAAGGTGTCCAAACTGCCAAACAATATGTTTCTTCCAGGCTTCGAAAATATCAGCACGGGAAAGATCAATCTGACTGTTGGCCTTTCGGAAAGCCTGGTGCAAGGACTTCTCTGAACAAAAGTATTAAAGTATTATACATAATATACACAAACCTGGCACAAGTGCATCTGGATGTTGTGAGTGCGAGCTGTTGCGCATCCAACTACCAAAGTGCAAGTGCTTCGGGATATGGGTGTTTCTTTCACGTCCAAACATCCCTGCAGAACTAGCCTCCATGGCCCTCAGTCTTGAACGGAACAGCGCCAAGTAAATACGTTGCATGCTATCGGTTGCCTCGTCTCCTGGAGCCATTCAATTGCACACAAGGAATGTAAGTGGTCAAAATGTTTCACCACAAACAAATCTTAAAGTAGGAACTTCCACAACTGAACTTTCGAAATGTTACGAATGTGCGGGGGTACTTTGCAGCAATGCGGCATCACACTTGCCTGGATAAGCCGTGCTCAAAGTGGTGAGATAGTCGTCTGTCCAATCAAGGACTTGTAAGCCTCAATCCACCCAAAACTGCCCAATTGGTTCAAGTTAAATAGCACAGAGGCATAGCACAATTATGTGCTCCAGAATGCTGAATCAACAATTCCTTTTCCTGTTGCATAGATAGGAGCAACAAGGTTTTGAAAAGGGGTGACTTCTTGCAAAGGTTGCTCAGCGATACCGGCGTCACAATCATGCTTTTCGCATTTCCACATGCGACAGGGTAGTCCCCATTCGTCCCTCTTTCTTGCGCAAAGGGTCTTGCACAGTACCACCATGGTTTCAGGCATCACATTTAAAATGCCACATGCGCGGACTTTGCTCTGGTGCAAATGTACTGACACATTGACTTGTTCTGCACTGAGCCCTTTCACACTCTTCCCAACAATGTGGTAGAGCCTGGTGGCCAATCTCTGCGCTCATTCTGTTAGCCAATTTACCTCCAATGCTGAAACTTGTTCGGCTGGACCGAAAGACTGGCAGCTAATTATCTGATCCCAGCTTGAAACATCTTGAACCATTATCATTCGTATGCAAAAACTCCATGCATACTGTAAGTTTCACTTCCTCTCTTCCGAGTCTTCCTGAGTTCCTTTCCCTCCCCTTCCTCCCTTCCTCCCTTCTCCATTCCTATCTCGCATGGCTTAAGTCGTCACCAAGTCAAAGTGATACGGTCGGAGTCGAAATCGGACACGAAAAGACTCTACGTTTCTTCGCCTTGAGATTTGGAGTTCCAGTTTCAAGTCAAGGATTCTGTGGCAACACTGTGGCAACATTCAGAGACTGTTTGTTTGTTTAATTCTCCTTCTGACCCAACAAACTCATGTCACACCACTGTCAAAGCGCCAGCTGTCTTGTTTGGCTGGCCAAAAAAAGACGCAATTGAGACGGGGGTCCTCAACGGTTTTATTCAAGCAGAATCATCCTTCTGCCTGGTTTTGCCGAGAAACTCTTCGGCTGTGAAGTCGGCAAATTAATTAGAACATCCACGGTGGCAGTCAAAGTCTTCAACCAAACAGCGGCTTCATTTGGTTTCAGTAGCTGCAGATGCCGCAAATCTTGTGGCACCAGGATCTGTAGCACGTCTGCCGCAAACTCTGCAGCTTCAGGTCGTACCAACCTGAACTGCGTCTTTTTCTCCAAAAGCAGTGTTGAAGGCTTTATGTTGTGGGTGCTGGCGAAATGTTATGCCTGTCTAACCAAGCGAAGCTGAGTCAAACAAAGCCGTGAAACGTGAAAGCCGGGACAAAATATGAACTGTCCAAGCAAGATCAAGTAAGCATAACGTGTCCTCACTTGTAGTTTAAAGCAATAGCCCGACACAAACATCTAGAATCTAGAAATTTGTCGAAAGGGTGTCAAGCACACTTCACAAGATTGCATTACCTGGCATTGTATGGAAACCCGGTGTCTGTTCAAACGGCTGACGTCCCTTCGTTGCTGATGGATTGAGGGTAACAAGTAAGCTGAATTGCCGAAACACCTCTGGAACTAAACCCTGACAAAGCTGGATCGCAATCGAAGGCCTCATCTTTCCTGGGGGCCGTGGGCCGTCTGCGAAAGGGTTTGTCCATAGAAGGGATTGGCATTATATAGCACAGCTATGTACAGCTGCTTCTGGACTGCTGCTGCAGATCTGTTTTGTTTGTATTCAGTTGCTCTTCTGGATGTGCAAATACCAGGATTGAGACTGTGCATGTGCAGTTTGTAAGCATGCCACAAGTGCAGTCTGCAGTTTGCAGGTCTGGTCTTGTAGCGTGGTTGCTTCAGGTGGGGCTTTGCTACATTTGATATGCTGCGTGAAACGCAGATGTAGATGTGCAAGCAGTAGATCGTTTTGTGTTGGGTGTTGCTGATGAGCATACTAGTGGTGCATTATTGCTGCGGTGCTGCTTGTATCCCATGTAACTTTCGCTGGGGTCTTGCTTCAGTACACACCTGCAAAATAGTTCACGTAACTTTCATTTGGATCTGCAGAATAGTTCATGTAAATTTTTCCTCGGGTCTCGCTGCAGGCAGCACATGAAGGTGCGTGTCACCAAAGCAAGTTGCCAAAGAAGTGGTACAAACGTCGTTCGTGGAGCTGTGGCCTCATGAAATGTAATACGGAATTTTAAGCAGCTTCTGAGAGCCGTGGCCTTAGAACTGGCAACTTTCTAGCACAAATTACCTCATTGCCCCGTGTGTTTGCGTGGCATGGCGCCATTGGGAAACGAAAAGCCTGCGTCTGCGGGATTGGTGCGGCATAGCAATGCCATTGGCAGACTCTGTGTGTGGACTCAGAGTTTTGCTTTCTGTCCTTCTGGAGTGGACTTGCTGTAGTCACGCGGCGGCGACAACGGGTGTGGAAACGAGTTGACTCGAATTTCTGCTTGTCTGCGTAGTTGTCCAAGGCGCTAAGCCGTTCAGCACTCATATGCCCTGCCTGCAGACAATGCGCCAAGGAAAGAATGCATGCACCAATCGCTAAACAATAACAGAACTTATACGCATGCGGTTCAACGCTGACGGGCCATCGTCTAGTTGGTTCAGAAAGGCAAGTATGCCCGACATCCCAAACAATATGCAGCTGTCAAGTTCCTTCTGAAAGCACAGGTCAATTCATGTGTTTGGAGGATTCCCATCCCTTCCAATATGTTTGGACCACTTTGCACTCCTGCTTGGAGAGGGCATCGATGTCCTTTATTAAATCTTAATAGGGACTAGGGACTGGTCCGGGACTGGTTACTGGTGTCAATCTTCCAGGAGTACGTCTGAGCCGCGCATAAGCAATCATTGGCAACAAAGGATGAAGCTTTACAGCAAACTGCGAAGGAAAGGCGGGATTGAACAGGTTTCAAGCAGCTGGGAGGTCGAGAACTTGAAACGGCAAGTCGTGTACCGGCCCAAGGCGGCAATTCCCTCTTGGATCAAATTTGGTGTGTCTGTGCCAAGGTACTCCCTTGGCTAATGCATCCCATGTTCTGGATGTCTAATGCATCCCAGTGGGACATTTTGGTGACCTACGGTTACATAAAAGGGGAACATCACAACTTGAGATAATATGCATCCTTCATGTTCTTCATCGCGAGCTCTGGCGATTGCTCAAATAAAGCGCTGCTTTGTTACAAAGGCCCCACTTCGAAACCCTGCTGACTGACTAAGCTTAATTTACTTTGATGCAGGGCACCCCTTCCCTATTAGACTATGCATGGCACGCCTGTCCATTCTCCAAAATAAAGGAAAAGAGCGGTCCGTGGGTTTATGAGAGTAGCAGGGCCTTGTTCTCCCAATCCAGCCCTATATACACTTCCAGCTGCTTTGTCAGGTCCTCATGCACTACAACTCCAATCATAAACTCAGATGCAAAAAATAGTCTCGGCTGGATCCCCCGCATTGCCCCAATATCCCTTGCAACTCAAGAGGCTTGGCATGGTGCCCAATCAGTCGCAAAAGCTGAGTTTGCTCTTCAGCGGAAATGCCATCAAAGAAAATGTGCGACACCTGGAAGTGAACCACACAACCAAAAGGTTAAGTAGCGCTACTAAGCGATCCAGTAGCTACTAACTACAGTACTACCGGACGCAGGAAAGTTCACACTTCTTCAAAGAAAGCCCCCCTGCCCCTGCCTAAGGGCGAAGGGAGCTTCCTTGAAGAAGCGCTCGCACTATTCATTTGGTTCCTAGATTTTGGAGGAAACTTAACCAATTGTTCCAAGGACCTGTTGACCACCTTCTTGCAGCGCTTGCCGAACTTCGCACCAGCACGTGACAGCCTTCGTTGGAACAAGCATCAGAAAAATAGAACATTGACAAAAACTTCTCCGTAGGGCTGCAACATGAGCCCCTTCAGGAGGCAGTCGGGCAGTCACATGAACTAGCCAGTCCTTGAGGCACAAGACACTTTTACTGGCCAGGTGAGAAAGTGGGATTTGAATAACCGACAAAATGAGTTTTCCATACACAACTGGGGACGGTGCAAAAAGTTTTCTTGCCGATGGAGACTTCTTGCAGACCGTCCTCTTTTTTAACGCCTGCAAGAAGCCTTACAAGTAACTCGGAAGACGATTGAAGTTGGAAAGAATTCAAGCTGGTTTTGGTGCTGAAACTTCTCGCTGCTGTTAAACTGGGAGCATGACATTTTCGAATATTGAAACAAAGCACGGGGATGCTCTCAAGATCCACGTGTGCACCTTCTGAAACAGTCACTCCACGATCGAACCAAATGAGACTGCAAGATGCTTTCGCTTCCACGGAAACATCGCTAAGCATCACCCTTTCCAGCCTACTTTGCTCAAAGCACTTGCTCTTGCAACAGCATGGGCCTCCAATTAAGATGTAAATGTTCACCTATATAGATATGCAATGAAGCTTCCGCACCCCTTGCTTTCTGCACCTAACTTCACCTGTGTTTATATACTGCAAGAAAATCCAGGGCTCCTTGCGTACACATCTGGGGCCTGAGAACATGAGAACTGCCGATTGCATACCGCCATGATGACAAGCTTAATTATATAAGTGTTGCCCAAGAAAACCCAATGAATCAAAACCAACCAGTCGTTGTTCGGTCTTCCAGGATCCCCATCACGGAAGCACCAAACTGCACGAAATGCCCAGGGCTGATACCACCGTGACTCCATGTACATATCTGTAGTTGGAGAAATACAAAACATGTTGTATACATGACACAAGCAAGAGTCGTGGCACAATCTTTATCAGACTCTATCAATGTTTATGTTGTCCTGCGGAGTAGCACTCTGTTGCAAAGTATGTTCAACCAGGACAAAGGCAGCCTTCTTTGATAAACGCTTTGCACGACAACAAACTCAAATAGGATCCACGCAGCATCGGAATTCACACCTCATCGCTTTGATGTTGCATTAAAGCAGGTGGCAACTGGTAACTCCCAACAAAGGCAGTTGCCAAAGAGCTGGGCTTCACACTGAAATGCTTTACTAAGCCAAACAGCACCTCCCACGCCAACCTTGAGTCAATCCACAGGAAGCTCACTTTTGAAAGGTATAGTAGGCTGAATTGTCCTTCGCACCCGTTCTTGTTCAGATCCGTTTGCCAGAAAAGGTGCCTCTTCTCTCCTCGCTCTTCCAGGAGGATTCCGACTTGAAGGATGCCCTGCCAAAGCAAGGAAAGCTTTGGAAAGCCCACCGAAGCAAAGCACTAGCAAAAAGCACTCTAAGCACTAGCCTCTAAGCCTGGCAAATCAGCTTTGTTTGCTTCGCTCAGCATGGACAAACCTGAAATGTTGTATCCCTCACTCAACATGAACAAGCAATAAAGTACTACTACAACCGTACCATTCTCAGAAGTGCACAAGTCGCAGCATGCTTGCAAAGATGGGCTGGATCCTTGCTCAGGTGCAAGATGTTGGCCACAGGCTTGTTTCACAAATTACGGGGTGCACGTAAGGACGAGGATTGGCTCACAAACCATGCCATAGTTGTGTTGCTTTGTTATGGATGTTTCTTGGAAGTTCCGATCAGTTCTTTCAGTCTTTCTGCACATGTTTCTTGGTAATATGCCACGAACCCTTTTGATTCTGCAACTGGACTGGTGAAATTCAAGTGGAGAGCACCAGACCTACTTAATTAAAGTTCAAAACTACGATTTGTACAAACTTCAGATTGTCAATCAAGCTTCTGATCAATCCATTCAAACTCCCCTCCTCCTTGCTCTGCAAAATGCAAAATGGCGAAATCACCGATTGTGCTTCAAAGTCTGTTTCGTCAATTTCCCCTGTCCTCGTCAACAACTGCAGGATGGAGTTTGGAGCCTAAAAATATACGGCCACTCTGATTGAGTGTAATGCAAGGGCAACTTGACTGAGTTTGCAATGAGGCAATGAGCTGTTGGCCGCAATTCAATGCGGCCTCACAAAAGAAACTATGTGACGATCGTGACTGCGATCGTGCAGCAAGTCGCACAAACACTCACAAACACTCTGACATCTGTAATTATCTGCATTCTGCTAGCTGTTTGTAATGGTGCTTGGCCAGGTTTGCCAAGGCCTTGATGAAGGGGACATCTGCGGCTGAAGTGTGCTGAGTACTTTTGGCACACCTTCCCAAGCCTGGAAAACAAAATTATGTTTGAACAAAGAATAAATCAATTGCAACGGCAGTCAACTCCTTTTATGTGTTCATGGATCTCAACAATATGTGGGCATACGTTTCGCAAATGACTTGAAAACAAAATGGCCTATAGCACGGGCTTCCAAAGGCGTTGGCATTGGTTTTCATGTACTCAAAGTTGCGCGAACATGATTCGAACATGCGTCAGCACTTGTTGGCGCTAATTGCATCAGAATGTATGTTACTCGTAAATGTTGCATCAAACTTACCACTGTTGGATGAAGAAACTGCTACAGTATTTAAAGTTTCAACCTGGGTAGTGAACACATGGACCATGAAAGTCTTACTTTGACAACCGAACATGACTACACAAGTCGCGTAAATGGTGTTCTCATTCCCTGCTAGTTTGTCTTCGCACAGTTTCGCGACGAGAATAACAGAAGGCACGGTTGTAAATCAAAGGTACTGCAGGTTTTGGCTGTATGCCTTGATGCTGAAAAACTGCATTTTCATAAAATCCAGTGCCATCCACAACTCTCACATTGCACCAGTATGTGAATGATGAAATTCATCACAAGTTCCCGCTGTCAAAATGTCCGCTAACAGCCGCACAATGACCAATTTTGGCAAAACACTGTTTCCAAATTCATCCAATGCAAGGACCAGGCCATACAAGATTCCAATCTTACACGGGGAATCAAACGCGAAACACACATGTGTTGTTTCCTGGAAAACGATCGCTACTTCCATACTCCTTCTTCGAAACCAAACTCGGAGGCCCTGTGGCCTCCATAGCCATTTCCGCGTGCACTGGTGCACATGTGCAAGAATGCAAAGACACATCTGGTCTCAACGAAGAATGAACACCACAGGTCTCCATGGTCATGCTATTTTCAAAAATGGAAGGGAATGAAAACAAAGGTTGCAAAGAGGTGAAGCCAGAATCACAATAATTCCGTGGGTCATGTCTGAAAAGGTATGATGAAAGTAGTGTGGGTGTTAATTTCAAAAAAAATTTTAAAAAAAAAAAAAAACATGCGAAAAAAATGTTGTCCTTCAAGAACGGCTACCAACTGCAGCTGTCCAACTATCCCGTTTATCGTCATCAACAACATCGTCATCATGATTGTGATTAGTTACATCATCGTCGTCGTAAACACTGACAACATCATCACCATCACCATCATGATTATCACCGTGTCAGATTGTGTTTGTGTGAATTTGCAGTGTTTGCAGAAGATCGTATTTGTTCTATTCTTTGGCTTTGATTGCCGAAGGCAACCAAGGCTCAGGCTGTTGTCAAGTGAGATGAAGGATCACAAGGAAGATCCCGTTTTTGGGCTTTGCATTTTAAAAAATCATGGAGCTGAAATTTGGGTTTCAGCAAGCCAAAGTTACTCCTCATTCAATGACAACTTGGGCACACCAAGTGGCTATTGCGCGTCACTACGGAAGTTTGAGGAAATTTCGTGCTGTTGACGTTGCTAGAGCAGAGGTCAGGCGCGCGTGCCTGGCTGATTTTGCCGTTCCACACGACACCCAGAAGGTCGCGCTCAGTCTGCTTCTGTGATAAGTTCCATGTCGAAGGAGCGAAAGTGCTCGGGCAGCCACGGGCTTTGCAGGTGCGCGAGCGTCCGGCGATGTTGAGCAGTTGAACAGGTTTGTGGAGTGTTGCAGGAAGCAGAATCACCTTCAGCTGACTTCCTGTCAAGGAAGGCTGAAGATTTTTTTTGCACGGGTGGAGCCGCCATTCATGCAGAAGGTGCACAGGTCAGCTTGTGCAATTTTTCTAAGTAGAGTCTCCAAAGGGCCAAAACAGACAACACACAAACAAACAAAGAGCCCCAAAACACAAACAACCAACAAAAACCAGCAGCAGAGAAAACAAGGAGACTCTACCTTGTACTTGCAAAAGGGTGAAATCTGAGGTGAACCGTTGAGACGCTAGGGCACCCTCATGACAGGCACCAATTGCCTTCATGCGCGGGTGCCAACAGGACCAAAGGGAACATTTGTGCATCATGTCGGGTATTCGTGCATTCGATCAGCAGCTAACCCATACGGTAGCCTGCAATTGCTGCATCACTGCCCATGAGCTTTGATCAATATCTAGAGCACTTCTTTCAATGAGTGCTCACGGCACAGGCCTGTCATCACAGGCCTGCCCCTCTCCTTTGGGACTGCAAGCTGTCATGATTCACCTTTCGAAGCTCTTGCCAGAATTCGTTGCCCAACCACAAGGAAGCAGTGACATTGTTTCACCAACGTCTCACCTTGCATGTACAAAGTTGAATCTCCGTTCATTGCTTTTCGTGGGGTTGTTTGTTTGTCGTGTTTGGTTGGTTTGCCGGTTTTGTGTTGCTGCCTTGTTTGTTTCCTTTCCAGGTGAACAGGTCAGAATCACCACTCGTGCATTCGTGGATTCAACTAGCCATATGGCAGCTATCGTTTTTTCCCAAACTGCCGATGAGCTCGAGCGATACTTGGAAATGAGAACCACTCACTTCGAAGCTCATACCTGAGTTCGTTCCCAACTACACAGCAGTTAATGTGTTTCACCGTCGTTTCACCAGCGAATCTCCTTTCTCTTTCAAGACGACCTGCATTCTGCACATGGCGTCTCCATCCGTGCAAAAAATGTGAGGTCCTGCTGCAGGCAACAATAGCTTGAGTGCAGCACTCATTGTCAAAGTCCTCCTGATGCCCACCTGCAACCTTAACAGCCGTTCCAGCATTGGCTTTCTTTCATTGTGTCTGGAGGGGTTAGGCCACAGTAGTTGCACCCATCACTGTCGTTTGGCACGATAGAGACAGGTGCACTGCCGTTTTCCACGGCCATGTTTCGTTGCCCTTTCGTGCAAGAACAAGCCAGCCAGCTACAAGCTGGCAAGATTTGCTCCGGAGTTCATTCCTGAATTCAATGCCCAAGCACAAAAAAAAGTCATAGTGCAGTCTCACTCATGTGCAGACTTCGAATCTCCTCCTCACATGCATGAGCCGACAATTGTCCTTGGGAGGCACCCCACAAAAATGCCTTGTGCAAGGATTGCTCCTTGCCCCTTGCAGCGAACTGAAGGTAGGATTGTGATCTCGTCGCTCATTGGCTCACCACCGACCTGCACATGCCAATTCTCAAAACTGGATGGAACCTCCTCTCTCCACATGGCAGCCAACGGACATGGAGACCTGGCCAAACTATTTTGCCCAAGGCAGCCCAGAAATGCAACAAGCGAACAGGCCGCATCAACGAGCCCCCAAGAAGCCATGTCGCGCAACAGAATGGGCCCAAAACAGTCCGATGGCTCACAGGGGACCCGACCTTTCTCAACAAACAAAGAGCGCCTCAGTGACAAGAAGAAGAAATGCACAAGTCGCCAGCGTGCACATCCCTAGGGAGCAGCTCCTCTTCCTCCCCGCACTCCGCTTCCAGGAGTCACAAGTCAAACCAGCCACCGGGCACTCCAGCACATCTGGTTTCCAAGAACACTGCAAACCAATCCAAATGAAAAGCCTTTATGGGTTGCGCTGCACTTCGTCTCTGCTGCAGCGTTTTTGGGAGCGTGCGGGGCAGCTCTTTCGTGCAGATTCGACTTGCAGCACCTGCTCTGCATTTTTACATTCACTGGCTTCCGCTCGGTGTTTCCACTACCTTGGAATCCTCACCAGACGCAACAGCGCCATTGCAAAACCACTTCCACAATGAAAGAAAGTATTTTTTTAATGCGAGTGGAGACGCCATGTGTACATGGTGCACAAGTCATCTTTGATTGATTTGAATATCCAAATTCTCTCAGAGCTGATCACCATTGGCATATTGCCCACCATGGGCCAAAGCTTCTCCTGCTTTCGCAATTGCGTAAAACGATTGTGACCAGGACAAAACTGTTTTCCAAGGCCAGAACAGCATAAGGCCAATTGAGCTTGCGCACTCTGAGGGAACCCTCCGGCACAGCTCACAGTAGGAAGCTGCCAGATTGACATCATGCCACTTTACAGAACATCCAGGCAACCACTCGGCAGCGTTCCTGAGCATGAGCAACCACCGGCCACGCTGGATGAACTAGCCAGTCGAAACGCTCAAAGGCAGGAGGCCCCAGTTTGCAGAAACCCAGAGACTCCACCTAACTGCCCTGGCTCAGCGCAAGAGCGCCCACAAGCCATGACAGAAATTGATATTGCCAGTGAACAAGAGCATGCAGAGCGTGGAGGCACGGCCGCCACTGATCTCCAACTGGAATCCGAACAGAGAGCCATGCAGATACTGTACGACTATCAAAAGGCAGCGGGCGCCACCAGAGAAGCTCACGGGCAAAAGGTGCCGCTCCCCTCAGTACAGATCTACAGTGACCTGCCTAGAGAATGGCCGATGGCGAGGCTTGCTATCTCCAACAAGCAAATCAACCGCCTTGTCCGCACATTCCTTTGGAGGAGAGTGACTGAACAAGCACTCCATGGCTCCTCGTTTATAGACATTCCAGACCAGATCAACCAGGCCTACATCGGCGATCTTCTCCTGATAAGTGAAGCCTTCGCTGCCCCTCTGTCTAACCTCTTCGCCTTCGTTAAAAATGGGCATCCTGCATGCCCTTTCATCACACAGAAACAGCTCGCTCTCTATGCAAGCCCTCGCTTCTGGCAATATGGCCTCCTAGCTTTCATTGCGAGGTGCTGTTCCTTTGACAACCAACACAGAGATCAGGGTACAGGAGCAGCCCAAACTGGGGAAGGGAAATCGCAGACCACAAAAGAAAAAGATGTAGATGCCCTTACCTTCATGCGCACTGTCGTCATGTCCTTCGTCAGGGGTATGGAGTATGGAGAACAAACGCTACCTACCAATGACCTTTTTGTCCATCTACCAGTCCAGATCCTGCCTGACCTGGTCACAGCCATGGAGCAGCAGGGCTTCAAGCCCGCGGAGGTGAAGGGGGGCTCTGGATATCGGCCAAAAGAAGAAGGTGCTGAAGACAACCCGCTGATCGTGGTGGGAGTGCACACCAAAGATATTGCGTATGGTCGATACCCCCGCATGCCGACCACTCCCTGGGCCGAAAGAGCTTACTCTAGTGGAGCCCTTGACCCGTCTTTGGGACAAGCCTTCGCGTTCCCCTCCCTGCTGCAACTGCGGATGCGCATTGAAGTCCCCGTATGGAGAGACCTGGCAACAGCCAGAAATCCCACAGTCGACCTGCCAGCAGA